CCCTTCAAAGTTCTGAAAAGGGCAACTTTTCAGCCTTCTTTTTCACAAAATAAACTATTTAAAAACACAACCATTCATTCACTAGGTCACCATTACACCGTATTCCTTCTTCTTTGACACTTTTCACTTCAATAATCAACATTTTTCCAATAAAAATTTAAAAAAATGTACGGAGCTGCTTTTTGGTTACATATCTCTGTATTTTACGTTTTTAAGGTTAATGGTATGGTTGGTACGACTGATGCAGTCCATATTCCTAAAGTAATTCAAATGTTTTTTACCTTCATTATTTAGATGGTAAATTGGTTTTTGGTGGTGTATTACGAATTTGCAATAGTAGGCGGCGGCAAATACCAACCGCTTTTTTCTGAAATGTCACTAGTAACTAACCTAAAAATAGAATAACATCACCAGGAGAAGCATTCGTTTTTAAATTAAATTTTTTATAAGAAAAATGTTCATTATTGAAGTGAAAAGTGTCAAAGAAGGAGGAATAAGGTGTAAAGGTGGCCTAGTGAGTAGATGCTTGTGTTTTAAAATAGTTTATTTTGTGAAAAAGAAGGCTGAAAAGTTGCCCTTTTCAGAACTTTGAAGGACCGTAACTTTGTGAATAAGGGAAAGCGCCGCTTTTTTCTTTCGTATTCGTAATCTACGCATCAAAATAAGTAAGTACACGCAAAAATTTTTTCAAAATCGCCGGGTGTCCTCAAAACGAAAATTTACCAACATAATATTTGCATGTCATTCTCGGTTCGTACGATCATAGATCTTTTCTACAATAATTCAATCTTTATTCAATAATCCATAATGATAAGGCATGACGACTTCCAATTCAAAGACGCCATCTAGGTAATCAACCGAAAACTATTGTTGTGAAAACCGCTACCATTTTGAATCCGAAAGTGGCGTCGGACATTTTAAATACGTTTTATATCTGTTTTATTTATCTAGTCCTGTTTGTTTATTTGGGTCAAATTTGGTAATTGAAGTTTGACCCCGTTCCTATTGACAGATTCATCTGATATTTGGTAGACATATTTAGTTTTGATGACAATACAATTCAATAAATTCTATATAATTTGGCATATTACATATTGTTTCACAACTACCTCAATATGGGTATCAAATGACATGGCTTGACTAGTAGAAAAGTATTACACTTTGAAAAAGATGCAAATTCAAGATGGCCGCAGCTACAAAATGACGGATTACATATTATTCCACAACTACCTTAATATGGGTATCAAATGACATGGCTTGACTAGTAGAAGAGTATTACACTTTGAAAAAGATGCAAATTCAAGATGGCGTCAGCTACAAAATGGCGGATTACATATTACCGTGTAATACTGAGACACTTGATAAACTAAACAGAATAAGAAGAATTGAGTAACAAAATTAGAAACTAAAAACTTGAAAATAAAATAAGTGAAAAAAGTTTATAATAAACGGTTTTATTTTAATAATATTAATAATGATGTAGATAATGTACTGAAAACTGAAAAATGATTCGGAAGATCCTAAGTAGCCTGTCGTCACACCACTCTCCTCGGCAATCTACATATTGATCAGATGAAAAAATTAAATCGTTGGACGTAGTATTTACATATTTACTCATGTTACGCTACGCCCAACGATTTTATTATATTTTTATCTGATCAATACCGTATATTGTTGAGAGTGATGTGATGACTGCTACCTAGGACCTTCCGAATTATTTTTTAGTTTTTAGTACATTATCTACATCATTGTTAACTTTTTTTGTCAATGAAACCGATTAACATAATTTTTTATTACTTATTTTATTAATTCAATAGAAGAAAAGTGGATCGAATACATATTCCTAAATGATTAGGTGTCGATTTATTTCAACAAACACGAAATAATCAGTAAACTTCATATCTTTAGAAAGAAATAAAAATAATACTAAAACCATCCTCTATCGATATGGATGACTCGGAAACATTCTACGAGGTGGCGTTGAATTGTCGAAAAAATTCAATTCAACCAACTCCAAAATATTATATTAAATATTTTCAGAAAGAGATAATAACACCATTGAGAACATCCTATGTCAATGTGGCTTGAAGTTCGGTACATATCAGTTCTGCTATGATTTTTCTAGCACGATGGAACATTTTCATAGAGCTAGTTCAACCATTGGTTTTTCATTGTCCTAGGGTGGGAACGCAGCACGTTTTTTAGTTCCCTCTCGTACATTTTCAAATGTATTGTAACACTTTCTATATAATAGCATGCTTGATAACAATGTTATCATCAAAGAATAGTCTATGGAAAGTCTTGTTTATTGTTAGTTTTATGGGTAATTTTGTTATAGTTGCGGTTACTGTGAAACGAGTATACGGGTCTAACCTTGAAAAATAACATTTTCAGTTAAGTTGCTTCAACAATATTACCGAGTGCACGAATTAGGAAATTGACTCAGATGTCACCTACAAACATTATAAAACAAAGTACCCAAACCAGAGGTTTCACTACGGTTTTATTTACTTATTACATTTTGTGTGAATTGGTTGGAATATGACGATGATGAAGTTGGGGCGGTAGTGCTTCCAGTGCTAGCTTTTTATCGAAAACGCTGCCTATCGCCTTTGAGATTTAACAAAACAATTTCCTTCATAGGTCTACTAAAAAGTCCTTGATGACATATGTCAATCTTTGTATCTTTCAAGGATGTAACTTTAATAGCCGTTTGAATGTTTGAAATAATGTACGTTAATTATGTAAGGCAATTGCATTTGCACTTTACAATTAAATCCAATATCTTAGGAGGTAAGACTATCGGCCTGACAAACCAATGCGATATATGCCTTGAAATTGCTTTTAGTTCTGTGAAGGTTGAGGTCGCAATATATCAAATGACTTTTTTATGTTGCAAGATTATTTATACGTTGTTTTTAAGTGTAAGTGCGGCCGGCTTTTTTTTTTGTTCAGAGAATCCATACCTTTCTAATTCCTGCACTGGGTTGACTGAGTTTCACTAATAGCAGGTATCCGATAAACGATTCTTGTACTCGCCGATTACGTTTGGTGGCTTGGTTTTCGAGTTGGTATTGTGACATCTCAGTCTGAAGCAGGTTTTTACTTATAATCAGATGTCATTCTTCTGATCCTCTCTGACAATCAATTTTTATAACAGCACAGGTGGTGACGACTTTTTCTTTTTGTCGATCTTCTGTGTTTGTTTCAAAGTCTGAATATTCGATCAATCAGAGTTTGAACGATTTACCTTCTAAGATATTGACGGGTATTTCGTTGAAAATTTTTTGCCAAAAAAATTATCCTATCAAATTTGTAGTGGTGACGACTTTTTCTTTTTGTCGATCTTCTGTGTTTGTTTCAAAGTCTGAATATTCGATCAATCAGGGTTTGAACGATTTACCTTCTAAGATATTGACGGGTATTTCGTTGAAAATTCCACTTTTCTTCAATATTATTCCATTCACTTCGGAAATTAAATGAAAAAAATCATAGAACTCTAGTTTCGAAGTGTTTACACAGAGCCAGACTATGCCTACTATGGAAAATCTTGGAGTTCCAGACATAAACCGATTTCCTGGAGTCTTTGAAGTCCACTAGATACTCGTTATGACAACAAGAGGATTGTTCCAAATTCTTGGGGTTCTTGTTGAATACTCTTCCTGAGCAAAACAATAGCAGAATCAATACTCCTGAGCGCTCTGGATTGAATGATTCCGTACTATCTCGTCTTGTGTTGGTAAATCTTTCGCTGGAAAAATCCTCATTTGTTTACTTTGTAGTAAATGTTCAAGAGGTAGCAAAAACGTATGTGATTTTCTGGAGCTTCAACTAGCGTTTCCTAATATGACCAGTCCGTGCAAAGCTTATTGTTAAATCATCTGAAAATGGAACTTTTAACGGGTGATGATTGACTGTATTGCCAAACATGCGCCAAACTAACTGACTGTTATAAGAAAACAAGTATATCTGAGGCACCAGTCAATCTAATAATAACACTGATGATCTTCAAATATGACTCAACATCTGACAGGAGCACCAAACTCTTACGAAGGTTCGAAATAGATGAACACTTCCATCTAGCAGACCACTATTATAATCTTCATGCAGTGCAGTCATTGTTCACTGTGGCTCTGTCGTTGAATCTGGTCATTATTACGCATTGGTTAAAGATGAAACGGACTGATTTAAGTTTGACGATAGTCGTGTCACTAAGTGTTCTGGCAATGTATTGAATTTATTGGAGCTTCTGGAGAGGTCATTTGCAGATCAAGATCATCAGATGATGTGGCGCTGCAGGTTTTTCTAGGTTTTCCTGCAGCTGAAAAAGCACATAGCCATTGGAATCAATGAAGTCGCCCCGGAGCGCCAATTAATAGAAATCCTTTTAGATCTACATTCTCTCTACGTTCCTACTAAAAGAATCCTTAAATTGACAGTAATATACGCTACTGAACCTCAGGGAAACATCCTTCTATAAAAATATGGAGTTAGTATAATGAACACGCCTGAAGAAGCTATTGTACAGTGAAACACATGTTACCGTTTTTTAAACTGTTTCAATGAAAATCTCATGAAATAAGTGTTTCTCAAACATGACACTTTTTCGTTTTTCAGCGAAGATGCCAAAAAATTCAACGGTACCAAAAAATAGACTATTACAAGAGAGTTCCTAGAAATACTCATAATAAAATCAAAATGTATTATTAAATGAACAAAAGGAAAAATGAAAACAGAAAGATGGTCTACCACGGTTACCATATACAGGTACCTAAAAAAGAGAAAGTAGGGTTCTCATAGGTACCTGTGAATAAGCACTATATTTCACTAAAACCTGTTGCGAATGATCTCAGATTCCAGTTTAACTGGTACTTATTTTTGCAAATTTCCCGAAATACATTATTTGACCGACAGTTTGCTCATTTCTGGTGGGTAGAATCAACAAATCAGTCAATAAACGTAACAAGAAAACCATTATTTCATGTTGAAATGTTACTTACCAATAAAAATAAGATCAGAATAAAAATTATTCCAAAAAAATGGAATCCTTAAAACAGACCAAATCACACCAACACCGAATCACTTAAAATTGGGAACCTATTGCACATTTTTGCGTCACGGGGTAAAATCAAGTTGTAATAAAAATCCCGACGAAACGTTTCAAATATACTTCTTATCTAGTTCCGGCGTTTCAACAGTATGATAGATCAATATAAGCGGTTTGAATGAACCAACGGTTTCCTATTATTATTTTGCCATGCCGATTCGCTGCCAAAGGAAACCTATTACAGCTGACCCTGACGCACATCGCACGCTATTCTGTTCATCTTTAGCCAGTGCCGTCAACACCGTTTGGTCTAGTCGTAAGGAGGGGGTACATACCTGCTATTTCTTTGTCCACATTCGCAAAGGTTATTCTCATAAACATACATCTAAGCAGAACTCGAATCATTGTTACGCAACGACATAATCGATCGAACAAGGTGGACCGCAGTAAACAAAAATGTATGAGAAAACCGTAAATAGTAAAAAAACAAAGTCTCGACGAAAAAAGTGCAAATAGGACCATATTACTGGATTGCCATTACTCGGTATTGTTGCACTAAAATCATCATCTCAAAACCATACTTTTCTTACAGAACACATTACGTTGAACTCACAATATTTTCTCAAATTTCATTACCTATGCACCTCGTGTAAATTGAAAAGGGGATATTTTAAGTATATATTAGTTTCTGGAAAAAACGTTTTTGGCTTTCTATTTCTCCATCTCAATACAAGAAATGTGGTAAACTATCGAAGAAATAGATAAAGCAAGTCACCGGAAGAGACAAATCTGTTCCTATCACGATGACAGACGTTATAATTGAGAATGGAATATACAGGGTGTCCCTGGACTTCCTCTTTTCCTCTCGGGAATGTATAGATGGGGTCAAAATATCACCAGTACTTCATATAACTTTTTTTCCTAAAATCCTTCGTTACCAAGTAACGGGCCCTCGAAGTTACAAAATGAAAAATGTTTTTCTTTGATAACTTTTCAAGTGAATATTCAAAATCATCCAAATTTTGG